TTAATGCAGGAATAATTCAGCAAAAATGTGATTGATACTTTTTACATATACAATCAAATTTACTAATTAGTTAATTCATTGGTAAGCTCTTTAAAACATCTCTTCGCTTCGGTTAAAGGCCCTTTACCCTTAAATTAAAGAGATTTTAGTGAGTCAGTATTCTTGAAGCATACTCATATTAAATCTGATAATATTTTGTCTCAGCTAAAAAAATCATATTCATTATCTAGTTTTTGACCTAAGAATGGTTATCTAACTTGAATTTGAGCAATATAAAATACTTTAATGATAAAGCTATCGATTTGAATTCGCAATTTGATACAACTTACTGCAATGTTTGCAATAAAATCCCTATTAAAGTAGATCTAAAGGGCAAAGGATTATTTGATTTCATATTTCTATTCTTTATCAATATATTTTTATATTCCTTATTTTTTGAAAGAGCTCTCAGTCATTTGTTAAAATAAATAATTGTTCATAATGACATTTAGTTATTGAACTGAGTAAGATTTACCATTAAAAGAATAGCAGACAGGAAAAATTTTAGAATAAGGAGAAACATAAAGAAAGGTATGAGCGTCGAAACTACTCATTATTTTGGGCTGAATTAATTTATGTATCCCTTATTAAGACTAAGGTCATGCTTTAGATGCTCTGAATCACATTTTTATAATACTCATTTGATGTTTTTTTAATCCACCCAAGAAAATATATAACCTATTGTCCAAGGATTTTTGAATTGATTGTTAATATTTTATTAAATTGGAAGCATCTTTAGTCATAACGTTTGCATAAGTATTAGGTTGCCTTAGATCTTATTCACAGATAAAACATTTCTAAAAGGATACTTATGATGATAGAGCCAAAGAGAATAAGTCTTGGAGTTATCAAGTAATCATAGATAAGAATCATATTATGAATAATTTAACTTGTTTTTTAGTTTTTAGCTAGCAAAGCGAAAATATGGGCTGCTAAATTAGCATTTGTAGATAACTTAAGTAATCATACGGACCTAACTATTATTATATAAAACTGAAGACTGACCTACCCCTTCTTACTATATCTACAGAATTGCATCCTGGAGTCCATACTAGCTTATCTAATGAGCACTTCTTTAAACATTAATTGGAAAATTGGCTTGAATCAATATTAATTATGTTAAATAATATATAACCTCCAGAACAATTGTCTCAGCTAAAAATCCAGTATAAATAGCAAATCATTCATTTTCTATATTTTTGACTTAGGTTATGCCCCAGAAAGTAATTCTAGACACTAAAGCCTTAATATTAATTACTTGGGTGACTGCAAAACGACCTATTCACCCATAAAAATACAGTTAGGCTTCTCCTTCATATTGTCTTCATTAATTTAAAAGAATAAATTTTTATTTCTCTAAAACAATTACAATTAATAGCAACCTTTCTTGAATCAAGCATTTCTCCTGGCTGCTTTAATTCTGAAGTGATATTTAAATGTTATAGAAAAATTTTGGATATATCTTTACTTACTGACAAGAATCTACTTTTGTAATGTAAACGAAAAATTCATTAGTCTGTGCACATCATTTATTTATGCTCAACTTATTTCTATAACAAAATACTAATTTGCAGCTTTACAATATTATCACTAATACGATTACTATGGTATTTAGTATAAGGAAAATGATTCCACACAATATAAAAATTTAGCAGATGTTTGGGTTCAAGTTACGACTTATTTACTGGCTGAATTATTCATTAGTATCCTACTTGTTGGCATGTTCAAAATTTTGTGGTTAGCATCAAAGATTATCTAAAATAGAGCCAGTGATATTCTTATTCTTCAAAATAATGGTGATTTCGCATACGAAAGCTCTCTTGCATCTGATTATTTTGCATCAATAGCTAGCTGTTTTCCATACTTATGATAATCAGTATAGCAACATACCTAAAGTTATGTATCGTTTTTCTTATTTGGAGTCAATCACTCATACCTATATAATGTGTAAAGTTGCCTCAGTTACAACTACCTCAGTGATATCAATAAAGCTGCTATTTGGGTAAAAACAGGTTTGTGGATTTTTGGTGAAAGACTAGCTTGCCTGACCACATGTGCAAGATGGTTAGGAGACATTTTATGTCACTTTAGGCAGGTTGAGGATAGATGAAGGTCTAATGAAAACTCTTACACCTTGAACTTGACTATCAAATGAAATTTTCATTGCATTCCTATTTTTCTAATTAACAATAAAAAAGTGTACAACGAAAGTGCGTTTAACACAGGAAATATTGTAAAATGTTTTACTGGATGGAGTAAAAACGTCTGTCTCATCCTGACGGCATCTAATCTTAAACAATGGCTTAGAGACATATTCTAATCCATGTAGTTTTGAAGCTCATTCTAGTGGAAAATTTGGAAAAGTAAAGCTTTTTCACTATATTTTCATTTATTTCACCAGGGCATATATGTGTATATTTATGTATAGTACTACGATTAATAACGAGTTTAATAGTCCCACACATGTTTTTACAAGATAGCCTAGACTAAACCAATATCAGCTGCACTTAACTTATCATTTTAAGGTCAACTTACACTGGACCAATGCCCAGTATAGCTTGTCATACTACCCTATAAGGCATCCTAGGCAAACTGATTCTAGTGTCTTTAGTTTTGCCGACTTATAGGCATATTAAAAACGTCACAATTTGCTATTATGAGCCTCCCTTATTTCACATGCAGGAGCATTGTTATCCGCATCCTGCAATTAATAGGAAAGCGCAGGCTGTATCGAGTTTAACTCGGCTGGTTGGCATGAATATTTATAAATAATTGAGCAAAATGATTTTATTTATCAAATTCTTCCGGATTTTAATATCAAAGCAATATGACTCTCGTGTGCAGGAATTTATTTGGCTCCAATTATCAGTAGTAGACAGATTGTTATTTCAACTGCCGGAGACTCTTCATACATACAAATGCATGATTGCATAATTGAATGATTTCTTATCGAACTTTCAGTAAGGAGAATCACATTTTTATCACAATTGGATCTATTTTTTTATGAGTTACTTTAGTAAATAAACAAAATCTGGCTAGTTGCCGAGATTAAATGCTTCATGAACTGAAGACTGACTCACTGGAGTTTTGACTGCTTTCAATAATCCCGTCAGTTACAATATAACAAATCGATTTATTTGTGGGTAAGAGAATCAGTTTAGACAGTCCATCTTAGCTCCGAAGCCTTTGATCACATAATTTGGAGAGATCATGAAAATATTGAGCTTAATTTTATGCTAAGCTTGCTGTGCAGATTAGCTCGGGATTTATGATAAATCTACAGTTTAAAGCCTTAACGTTCCAATAAAAGCTAATCAAGCCCTACTTTATAGGCTATTTCTTTTGCTATTTTTCATAAATCATAGGTTTCCTCTGTCTGTATATCTTCTACGTGATCACCACTTGGGTTAGCGGAGAGCTGTTCAAGAAATTGCGCGTCACTAACTCGCATTTTAACTTTCTCCCTGGTTTTATGTTGAAGATACTGCAGTGGTTTACCTTGCTCCCATCACATACCGGAGGACTAATGAGAAGAAATCAGAAGGATCAGCAACAAAACCAGCCAGGAGATCAGGAAAAACAGCAAGGCCTACAGCAACCAAGCCAAATAAATAGCGACGACGACTATCAGACGATCAAAAAGCAGACTATCCGACCTCAAAACCAAATAAATGGCAATTTGGGTAAACTTCAAGATGTTATTAATGGTAACTTTCAGTTGATTTCGAATCCTGAGAAGTCGAGCATGCAGCATCTTTTATGGCGCCGTCTGCTTAGAAGCCTAGGCATTTCTTCTTCATGCGAAAAATACCCAGTCTTCTGGGAAGACAGAGCCTACCAAACAAGTGGAGTTTATATAATCGATCAAAATGAGCTACCAAAACAACGTAGCACCAATCAGCAAAATATTTTGTCCTATCTCCGAAATCAGCTGTTACAACAAACAGAGGAACCAATGCTGAGAGAAACGCATTTCGGCAGTCAGATGGCGAGTCCTGAGAGCGACGGTAGACAAGCTCCACCGAGACAAGTCAATCAGTATCCTCTGACGTTTCCAGCATCAATAACGTTGGATTCAGTTCCAGATGCAATCATCGCTGGCGGATATAGAGAGATTCCGAGGATCACTATTTCCGAACATGAAAGAGGCAGTTCACCTCCAAGTAGGTCATACTTTGTCGACTATCATGAATGAAAAAATAGCGATGGAAGGATGAGATTTACAAGAGTTTCTGATTGCTGATTACTTGCTGGCTGATAAGATTCTAATTTTCTAGGCTTTATAACACAAAATGCTTAGAAATACTGAATGCAAGTTTATCAATATTCAAGAGTAGCAATACGAACTTTAGACTTCCCACAGTAGACTAGCTTTAGACAATTTTATGGAATTGAGAAGAAAGTAAAAAGTTAGAGGGCACTTGATACCAAGAAATAAAACTTTTCATTTGAAAT